CCACATAAATTGAGCAATAAAGGTAACAACTTGGCATTACTGGGCATTATTTATTTCAATTTTGAGTCTGTTTTTTTTTATAAACTGGACTCCAATTTTCAGATTTAGGATCCCCTACTCTTGATTTTCAGATCCGCCCCTGGAACGAATATATTTTTTACAGCCACTGTATATCTTCTGTGCGATTTTTACTTTTTATGTAAATTTGGACCAAATTTATTCGTGTAAATAAACATGAGTGTATTCCTGAAAACAAAAATGTAATAGTAATAAAATGATTTCCTCGTTATGATGTTATGACATCTTTGCCAGCTGAAAGTGACAGCAACATATTTTAACAAGGCATTGACATGCAAAATGTCACCCCTGGCATTTGTTACAGACGCCGCACGCCAACCACTGAACGCCGTCCACAAAAAAATTGGAGACAATAGCAATATGTCACTACTTGTAGACTACCACTCCTTGATGCGTATCAGTTAAGAAAAATCTAAAACCTTTAACCATAACGTGCACCTATTCATTTAGCGAATAATTCGTAAACTTTCACGTGACAAAATGCATCTTGTTTTTTCTAGGAGAAATCGACTGAACTTGTTATAAACATCAAACCTGAGAGGGTCAGAGTCGGATCAGCGTTGAATTTATCAGATAAAATATGTTTGAATTTCAGTAAAAGTAGCTACAAGAATTTTCAATATTTAAATCTTGGTCACCATATCAGCCTGCTCAGCGCTCTTCGTGTAATTTAGATTTTTCAATACACCAGATGAACTCATCTGTATCTATGTTACAAGTCTCTTAATTAGTCTATAAATACAAACATGCCGAGATTAGAAGTAATGCTATAATGTAGTACATTTAACACTTCCAATGCATAGTTGAAAACATGTTTTTATCTGTTTAATACATCAAGATTTTTTGTAACTGGAAACCTGAGATACAAAATCTAAGGCCATGTGTAATATGTACAAGCTGTTCTGCAAAGCAAGACAGAGGAGGCCGATTGTGCAAAGTCACAAACTACAATACGAGGAACAGAAATATCTTTCAGTGAGTAGTTTTGAAATAATAAAGCAAATACTAAATGAACAACATTTAAAATCAAACATTTTAATGATTGTATTGTCATTGTTTAATTATATCTCATCCAAGCCTGAGGATGCGACTTGATAAATATAACATTGCTAGAATTCTTGTAGTAGTTGAGTATCGAACCTGACTTTCCAAGGGTTTCAAAAAGCATAGCACCAACAACAACAACAATCACAAAGATGTATTCGCATTTAGTACATAATTACCATGACTGAATAAAATGTCCCATTTTTCAATGATTCTAAAACTAATTGACCAAACTGAGTGCTCTAAGACTTCTACAACTGATTGACCAAAGTGTTCCAACTTTTCCAGCTGATTGACCAAAGTGTTTCGACTTCTACAGATGATTGAGCAAAATGTTCCGACTTTAACAGCTGATTGACCAAAGTGTTTCCACTTCTACAGCTGATTGACCAAAGTGTTCCGATTTTTACAACTGATTGACCAAAGTGTTCAGACTTCTACAACTGATTGACCAAAGTGTTCCAACTTTTCCAGCTGATTGACCAAAGTGTTTAGACTTCTACAACTGATTGACAAAAGTGTTTCGACTTTCGACGAAAATTTGGAGTCATAAGAATAAATTCAAGTAGCATGTCTTATCATGTCTTATATACACATTATCCCGTTATTTTTTGTATAACGCATGGAAATTAACTTTAAAAAGTGAGCAATGTCATTAGTATTGTGATAATAACGTCCCTTATTACAGGTCGTGTAGACCATTGTTGCCCGATTTATAGGAAAAACATTGACTCTTGCACGTTGTTGATGATGCGCCTTTTTTAATAGATCTCATATCTTAGAAGGGTATCAGTTCAAAAAAAAATACTAGGTGGCCTAACATATTTTGCCATGCACTGCGCCTATTCATTTGGCAATTCAGTTGTAAATTTTCTCTTGGAAAAAAAAATCTTCCAAATTTTTGGAGTTTTCTTGCAGAAATCGCCTAATCCCCTCCATCCAATTTGTACGATCACCGGGTGTGTAATTGGTTATATCTCAAGCCAGGGTTGTTGAAAATTATTCTGTTATATATCATTAAATTAAATCTTTAAAATGATATATCATTGTTGGTGTTTCTGTTAAAAAATAATATTGACTAGGGATGTTTTTGGCCCACCCTGTATATTATAAGATATTTTGTAACCATGTATGATATATTGTAATAAAAGTGATTAAGTGATACACAGTATACTCGCCTATTTTATTATCATTGTATTTTATACTTAAAGGGTCAGTATCTGTATTTCTGATTTTTTTTAATTCCTGACATTATTTAAAGAATTAGACCCACTCTTTTTGTTATTTAAATATCAATACTTCAATATTTTTCTTGTGTATGTAGAATAGGAAATAATCGCCTATTGACATTACTATGAGATAAATAATCGGACGGTAAAAATGCTACATATTCTGAATAAATTGTGCTACTTTAAATCCATAGGGTGTGTATATTTGAAATTTATTAAATAATAAATATACACGTATTGTATACTTTAAAGATAACACGTTGATATTAATAGGAGCATCAAAGGTTTTCCCTATCAACATGGAAATAAAAGCAGCTCGTATGATGTACAATACTGATTGTATAATCTAGAAAATGTAAATATTATGTCCATATGTTACATGTAAGGTTATATGTAATAAAGAAAATATCATTGAAACTATTAACTTGTATTGTGCCTTAATTGCATGACTCAAATTACGAGATAGCTTTATCAATTTATTGGTGATTTAGTTCTAGCATTGATTGAATCAGTCATAGAAAAGAAAAAGAATCCCCAGCATAATTCTGGTTAACGCACAAAGAACAACATCACCCACCTACCAAAATGTTATTGTAACAATCCAATATCCACGATTAATAAGATATTTTATTCATAGTGACCCTTATATGATAGGAAACTGCCTTTTATAAAAACATATGGAAGTCGGAACCTGAAATTACTTACTAGTATATAAAAGTAGAAATAACAACCAGTGATGAAGCCGTAATATGACGTAACGTAACGTATAACATCAATGAAGTAAAAATATAAAACTATACCAGAATAACAGGAGCCACCTTTTTAATAAAATAAATCCAACTACAAAATGATTAAAAAACTAACGTGGACATCTATCGAGTGTATTCGAAGAAATAAGTAAACTAAGAATACTTAGGTCAGGTCAGTATACTTCGGCAAGAGTCAGAATAGATGGGTAGCCAAGTATACTTGGGCTTTGACAAACGTATCTACTGCAATGTACACTGTTGCTCATAAATATGGAATATTTTACAGATACGAACTGTTCGATGGAATTTCTACAAAATGATAACATTTTGATGAAAATTTTTAATGTGTTCTCATTCCCTCATCAGTTTTGCATATAAAACTGATTGGTATGAAAAGTTAAAACATTTATGGTTGATTAAACTTGTATTCACCCAGGTGACCCCATGACCTCATGATATTGGCAACTTGTAAGAGGTGTCCAAATCTTAGTTGTAATCATTGTGCACATTTTATAAAAATGTAATTTAGAGTTGGAAGTGTTTTTTGAGGGCATGCTCCATAGAATAAGCGAAAAAGAGCATGGCAGGTCATAGTGATGGCGCTCTCTGGCATGAAACAAACTGCCATTGCCAGGACCCTAGGGGTGTGTCGGTAACAGTCCCTAAAATTTTGCAGTGGTACCAAAGGCACTGGAATATGACTCCAGGTCACAGCAATAGTAGCCCTAGAGAGAAAAATGTAAGAAAAGACCACCACCTGCTGCATTTATGTCATCAAAATCGCTTTAAGTCAACCAGTAGTCTATGAGATGAATGGCTGACTCACATCAAAGCCCGTGTTCCAGAGCGATAGACAACCAGTGATTTCTTTATATCGGATGCAAGGCCATGAGACCTTCAAAGAGACCACAGCTGACTGATCATAACAAAGAAAGGTGCCTTCAATGGGCAGGGAAGCACCAAAACGCTGGACCTAATCTTTGGTGTCATATGACAGCATGTGAAGAAATAAGATGAGTCCTCAACAAAGTGGATAATCGTGTTCGTTTCTGTCATAGACCAGGGGAAAGAGACAATAAGGACACTTACTGATGTGGCAGTCCATGAAAGCGACCCTATTTATGTTCGGACACTGTGCAAAAAGCCAAATATAGTAGCGTATGAGTGGCAAACTATTTGTGAAAATAGTTCAGTATGTCCTCACTATATTGTATTCGGTATGGGAAACAAACTATTCTTGCCTCAGAAGCGGAACAATTAGTATTGTTGGTATATACTCTACGATACTAAATATCGTTTAAACTATTCTCCGATTATTCTTAAGAGCCAGGAATAGTAGGATATAAGTACATAGAAAAGATGAGAATAGTATGTATTACGTAATCTAAAAACAAACTATACGCCTCTTATACGCGAGGCTAGATATTCTTTGATGTGCCTTAATTTGCTTGGAGTTAATCCTATTTTATTTTTCAATTAAGCGCTAATGTAAACAATTAATAAAATCATGCATTTCACTTAACAAAGCTTAATCAAACTTAATGTCTTAGATCTCACTTAAAATTTTATGATGTATATGATTTTAAATGAACGTAACCATTTTAAAAATGTTAGTCAATTTAAAAAGTGGAATGAAAATTTGGGTATATTTCAAATATAAATCGGTAAATTCTTTATTCCCCATTTTGAGTAAAATAAGCGCGTATTAATTTGACGTTTGTTTTTAGTCTTACCAAAAATCAGCAGCAATTTCGGTGTAGTTAAAATTAAATTGAAGTAAAGCGTATCGTGATATCTTCGACTTTTGTCAGTTTTAAATTGAGACAATCCTGACTTTCCTATGACAAATAGACCCCTAGTCAGGGAGGGGGTTTGGAGGTTTAGAGTGAAGACCTGGAAGAAAATTAATTTTTGTATAATTATGTGGCAGAAGTTAATGATGATGATGCATTTTTAAATGTTAAAAAGAAAACAATATTCAAGTGCATGAAATACAATAAGGAATCGGTATAAAATCCCCGGGATTAAATATTATAAAGGATGAGGGAATGCGCTGAACGAAAACTTATTTTTGTATGCATATCATTAGGTTAAATGTACAATTTATAACATAAATAACAGGACGGATCAACCTTATCAACAAGTGTCACAAAACGATACAGAACAAAACAAAAAGTTTAAGTATAAAATATGCATATATTTCTATATATTTGTCAATTACATAGGATACAGTAATTACAGAGTTCATTATATTTTACGATTTCATAAATGAAATAGATCATTTATACACACTATTGTCCTCTTGGTATTAACTAGCTAAAATGGCACAAAGAATTTCATCCAGGAAACCTATTCCTGGGCGGTCAAAAGCTTCAGGCTCTGAACAGGCGGTAATCGCTGAGCGTAGACGGCAATCATCAACAAGGGATGAGATATCCTCGAACGCAACTCCTATTGAGTAGATGTCACTGGCGATGCTTACTGGTGATCTGGCTTCCCGAACTTCTGGTGCAATCCAGGTCTGATTCGAATTTACCTGAGACCAAGTGAATGGGCTAAGCATGGAGCATGCCACTCCAAAGTCTATAAGAACGCCTGCAGTGCGTGATTTCATGACGAAATTGTCGGTCTTGAGATCGTTGTGGAGTATTCCAAGGCTGTGGATGTGTTGTACGGAATGGATGAAGCAACGCAGTTGATGAATATAGTCTTTGGTTTGTAGGTCATACTCTTCTGGATCGGAAACGGCATGCCATAGAGACGACTGGGTGTGATCGTCGTACTCCACAAGGTTTGAGACGATTACCTTGTCTTTAACGTCGAAAGAAATTAGGCGCTGAATACTGTCGATGTGCTCGCTCTGTACAGCAATCAGGTAGCGCAGCTCCTCCAGAAAGTCCTTCTTTTGCTTGAGAACTTTGACTGCCACTTTCTCGCCTGATCCGGGCATAAGGCATGCGTCAACCTTCCCGAAGCCACCTTCTCCAATGTGGTGGAGAGTTGATGTGTTCTTATGGCTGGGGGCGTTTCTATGGTCGAAGACGACATTGATATCCTCTGGTCGCGTTTGCCTGGATGCAAGAAGGCGATAAAGGCGTTCTTTCTCCCGTTTCTCCGCAGCTAGCTTGCTTTTGAGGTCATCAATCACCGATCCGAGTCGAGCAATCTCGATGTCTTTGCTGGTATCCTCCCGCTCGATGTCTGTTTGAACCTCTGTATTGCATGTAGTTGCCGTAATGGATTGCACTGGATGTTCACTATTCACGATCACGGCACGGCAGCTGTCACTGTTTCGAATCCCGTCGTCAATCATTTCTTCACCGAAGTCTGTATTTGGAGCTGAGCTCTTCCAGGAGAGATGTTTGTAGTAGTGTGGCCGCTTCTTGGTAACTGGGTCTTTTTTCAGCTGTCCCCTTCCTGCTGCCATTGCATCGGGGAAAAGCTTTGAAAGCTCTCTCCCAATCAACGTTCTTGTAAAAATCCTGTGAGTTGCTGGGAATGATTCAGCGATTTTCTCCTCCAGTGAATCATACAGAACGCGGCTCCCTGCAGAAACAGGTGGTATGGGCTCAATAACTGCCTGCAACCAGTCCGTCAGTTGGCGCATGATGTCTTTGGGGAGTGCTCTGCCTTTGAATTTCTTTGCTGCTGGTTCCATTGTCAAGTTCAAGTTTCAATATTTACTCTTTTCGCGTGTTGTCTTGTTGATAGCTTCAGTGGACTGATGTTGGATGATGTAGGGTACTGGTATTTATATCATTTGGACCAGCAAACTTAGGGATTGGAATAGCCATTGACGTCATCAGAGATCCTATTACACATGATCTGAGGAGAAAAAAAACATTGGGATCAACAATACTTTGATGGATAATCTGAAGAAAAAAACATGGGGATCAACAAGTATTAGCAGTATTAGCAGTATAGCAGTATTACAGAGGTTGTTTGGAGCAGTTCTACAGAAATTGCACCCCTTGGTGATTCCCAAACATCATTTTAGAGTAAATTGACCTTTTGGACCTCCATCAAGTACCACATGTAAACAGAGTGTTTTGGGGCAACATTCAACTGCAGAATGATCATGCTGTTGCATATGCTAGTGGCATCGTGTTGGATTACATCAGGGCAGGCAATGTGGACCAGCTACCATGGGCACAAAAGTCAGCCAAACAGGCTAATGCAGAGCAAATGTGGGGCGACCTTGCTAATGAGATTCGTGACTTGGACCCCCACCTCAAAATTTAGACACGTTACGCACTGCCCAGATTGAGAAATGGGGCCTTATTTCACTTTGAAAGGTCAGATGTTTCATTCAATACTGGTCCCGTAGGGTTGATGCTCTGATTGCGGCACAAAGAGGACATAACACATATTAGTGCTATCATTGGATAGAGGACACTTCAATCTTCATGACCAGAAGTTTATTTTGTTTGATCTGTTTTACATGTAGATTTTGATCGGGGTGTTTTGAAAATGCAAAAATTCTTAGCATACCCCTGTTTAAGTAACAGTAATTTTCTAAACTTAAATGTTAATATTTTTTCTCTAAAAAATGTTGATTTGTAGGTGAAATATGTGGTTATGATTTGCCTAGAAAATAAATGTCTGAGCCAACTCCAAATAAATGTTCTCTTACTCCAAACTTTGAATTCTGAGCTGCCAAATCTAATATTCCATATTTATGAGCAACAGTGTATTCAAATTCAATGGTTTTCAAAACTCTATAGGATATTGTCGTGTGTACAATTTACGATAACATAATATTTCTGAGTGTCTATCCGAATCATTAACAAATGGAACATGAGCATCATAGCAATTTAATACCTTTCATGATTCTAAGTACAATCTACACTCCCGCCACAAGTTTGGCAACTTGAAGTCCCATGCATTGGAGATGCTAAAGCCTATTTATGTTTGGCAATTCAAAAATAGATTCATCAAAATTGTCATTAATTTCCGGACTGTTGTAATAAAGAAACGAACCATATATTCAAACATTATTAACAGGCTTTACCAAGCTACCAAATGAACGTTGCGAGAGTGTATTACATTCTTCCCATAACATAGAACCGTAACTTGGAGAAATAGATACATTTGTACGTGGTTGAGGAACATGATCACAATCGTAATTAACTTTAAGTAATGGGAAAATCGTTTAATATTGAGGCAAGGTAAAGTATCATTAACTTCACCTGCTTGCACCTGTTTATAAATGGCCAATGTATTGATAAATGAAAACTAATCCTAGCTATCATGAGTTGTAGTTTTTATCAATCCCATTGTTTCTTTGCTATCTCTTTTGTTAAGTTGTTGATTGTTTTCAGGGCTCATCACTTTTGTTATAAATGTATGTGTGTTTCAATATTAATACTTCCTCGCTTGTCAAACATCAACAACGTCAATAACGTTTATATATGATACATTTTCATTTTGCAAAATTACTTGTGATTTGATAAAATACGACTCCCTCCTGCAATAGGATGAGTGACAACGTGTTAACAACGAGGTGGACGTTCTAAGGAATGAGAGATATAAACCAACGGGAAATGGAAAATTTCTACAATAATGACGTGTTTTTTGTTTTCTCGATTTATAAGTCATGTTGCGGATTATCATTTGGCACAAAGTCAGACAATATAGTTTAGCTTTTAGAAATGCTCTCGGTTCGGAATTTGATTTGTAAATAAAGCTGTAATTCATGCATTGAGACCATCGCTTTTGTTACATTGACGTAAGTGGTCAAAGTAACATACTGTTGGTAATATAACGGACTTTCGTCAATGTAACAAAAGCGAGGGGCTAAATATATAAATTGCAACTTAATTTACAAAAAAAATTCCAAATCGAAGAAACTTATAAAAACTAAACTATATTTTCTAGCTTTGTGCCAAATTATTAATCTGCAACTTGACTTTTTGTAAAAACTCGTATCCAGGAAGTTCATCCATTTTGTAACTAGTTGTGGAACAGTGCAAAGGGGTTCGAATAATCTACATTCACACATAGTAAGATAGGCCTGACATGTCAAATTCCAACCGATCTGAACATAATATTTGAAATAATCCACATTCTTGAAATTACAACCAAGCATGGCTATTTTTTTAATTCTACTGATTTTTATTTTTAGGTGATACTTTTAGATTTATTTCAAGTTGGCTATCCTAATGAAGTAATTACATTTGTAGATAATATCGATATCAGTATTAAAGGAGAAATGTACAAATAACCACACAATACAAATGGGAGAAATAAGTTATCCTCATTAGGACATCCTTGCAGCAAGGGTACATAGTATTTTATAGAATACCATTTGAGCATAAATGAAGTCCTTTGAAGAAGGATGCATTAGGACTGTGTGGGCGACTACAAATACATACATGTAGGCTACATATTGTACTAGACGTCTACAATATGTATTGATATTAAGAATCAGCATTAAGGAATAAATACACAGATAATCCGTCAGTACAATACAATATTACACACGTTTGTGACGGATGGATAAATCAACAAAGCATCTGTCAACTTGAGTATATCATGGTGAATAGTTCCCGGGAATAGGGCTCTGAATGCATCTGCCTTGATGTAACATTGCAAATAAAATTAGCTGCCGGTATTATGTATAATTGATTGGAGTTTGTAATCTATTGGATAAGTGTGTGATTAACAACGTGCCTTTATTCAATCAAGATGGAATATAATTGGAAAAATAAAGGTCGATTGTATTATTTTTGATGAATTATATTATAGATTGTACATTTAAGAATTAAGATTGTCGGAATTATGTCGCCTGTTGTAGAGATATCAATTCAGTAAAGCGAGGGCGGAAAATATGATACTCCATACATTATTCTGGCGATTCGTCCAGTGCACGAAGCTAATACGGATTCTAAACCATTGAAGGGAATGTCATTGAGGTTCATCTTTACATATTCTCCTAAGAATTATTGGGTATTTCCTCCTCTACACACTATTACAATGGGGTAGAAATTAAATATGTGCTAACCGTCTCGTAGTTTATCACTCAATTAGTTGTGAGCAGAAATAACCTGAAGTAAATTATTAGACTCCAGATTGAAAATCTGGAGTCTATTGCTTTTGCCAGTTTTCTTATTCTTTCTTTCTTTCTGAACACTTTTTCTCAGCAACTAGAAGAACTTACTTTAACCTACTTACATGGCTAACATAGCCCATCAACCTAGTTTCTGGGAAATTAGGTCAAATTTGTATCTAGGTCAGAGGTCAAGAACTAGGTCAAGTTTAGGTCAAATCAACATTCTGTCAATTATCTTCGTTGTTGTTTGTCGTTACTCCTTTATCTTTTTTTCATCATGTAGCTTAGAAAAAAAACAAATCGAGTGTGTGCCATCCGTTTTTTGATTACTCTTACCGATTTTGAGATATGGCGTCCGAAAAGTAGGTCAAACTAAAAAGTTAACCAAATTTTCTCAGGAATCTGAATCTGCAAACCAAATTCCGATCCAACTTCCGGTTCGAAAGTTATGGCGTTTTGAAAATTTCGAGAAAAATCGATCTGATGATATCCTGATAGAAAGTCAAGAGTAGCAAAGAAAATATAGAAAAAATCATCCATCCTTCCTTCCTATCCTGTCTGATCATATCCTTCCTATCTATCCTTCCTTTCTATCCATTCCTTCCTATCCTATCCTTCCTTCCTATTCTATATCCTATCCTATCCTAGAACTGGGTCAAATCTTACATTTTCAATATTCTATCAATTATCTTCGTCGTTATTTATCGAAACATCTTCATCTTTTTTTCATCATTTAGCTTATAAACAGCCCTTTTATAACTGTGCCATCCGTTTTTTGATTACTCTTACTGATTCTGAAATATGGCGTCTGGAAGTAGGTCAAAACAAAAGGTTTTCCAAATTCAATGTATGAATTATGAATTAGGGGTAGAATTTCGTCAGGAATCCGAATCTGCAAACCAAATTTCAATCCGACTTCCGGAAGTAATGGCGTTTTGAAAGCTCAAAAATCGCTAAATTTGGTGCCCAATGTTGTGTCAATGAGTAAAAAGATTTTTTGAAGTGATTCTGAAAGCCTATAAAAGAAGGGGACCTCGAAGGCTATCTAGCTTTAAAATTTGGACACCTAAATGCCTAGGTCAATATCTAGGTCAAATTCATAGTTTTACCTTATTTTTGCGATTCTGACATTACACTTTAATGATTTGATTCGAAATTTTGTATACAGGTAGCAAAGAGTGTGCTAATATCGATAGCCTTTTGCCGTCAGAAAGTATTTTGACCCACTTTTGAGATATGGTGTCCGTAAAGTAGGTCAAAATAAAAAGTTCTCATAATTTAACTTATGAGTTATGAATTAAGGGTAGAATTTGCTCAGGAATCCGAATCTGCAAACCAAATTTCAATCCGACTTCCGGTCAAAAATTCCTACTTACCTACCTACCTACATACCTACTTGGCTACCTACTTAGCTACCTACTTCTCAGCTACTTACTCGGCTACCTACTCAGCTACTTACTCAGCTACCTACTCAGCTGCTTACTCAGCTACCTACTCAGCTACTTACTCAATTACTTAATCATCTACTTACTCAGCTTCCTACTCAGTTACTTACTCAGCTCTTTATTCAAGTAAATCAATCAGGAGTCTTAAATTGAACTTTGTTCAATTTACCAATCTAGTTATTTTTGCAAAATATAAAAAATGCAAAAGAAGACAAGGTATTAACATGACAAAATGTCACCACCAAGTTGCTCAAAATATTATTAGTACAATCTTAAGTCAGATTTGAACTTCTGAGAAATTGTACATGATTTTGAAAAATGATTTTAGTCATTGAAGTTGAAAAAAGACCTTTTTGACCAAGAGAAGGTCATTGAAGGTCAAATCTAAAGTCAAATTTGAACTT